TCTATCTATCTATCTATCTATCTATCTATCTATTTGTCTATATATCTATCTATCGATCGATCGATCTATTTATCTGTCTGTCTGTCCGTCTGTCTATCCATTCCGTCTGTCTATCTATCTATCCATCCATCCATCCATCTTACTACCTTTCTATCAGTTTTGTCAAAGTAACCAGGAGGGTGTCCAGTGCGTTCGTAACCAATTGAATCAGTGTGAATGGACTTTAATAATATTACTAGCCGGGTGGGGTCTTTTTTTTCTCTCCAAAGACTGCACCGCTGACTCCCCGATGCAACTGCTTCATAAAATGAAATAAATAAGAGGAGCACAAAAACTTGGTCTTCACGAGCATGACAAACACAGTGAGCCTTATTTATTCAGTTTCTGACGTACTGAATCCACTGTGACCCTCACTGTGACCCCGGCTATTGCTCACAGGGTCAAGCTGTTCAAAACAAAAGGCTATACTTTACTTTTACCTGCGCATCGTGTTATGTTCTTGGAAGAAATTCTGATTTGGTTGCCTCGGGATTATTAAGGAAATAAGATCCTTTATTCTTACTGTTACTGTCAGCTTCAACTATAAGGCTCTTCAATTAATGTTCCACCCAGCATAAATTTCTTTCTATTAATTCCTTATTTATTTCCATTTTTGATGGAAGGCGACTTACTTCGTTGAACCGAATAAGCTGTGTATAATATGACATAGTATATTATATAATATGTATAGATTATACATTCATAAACGTGAACTACACTCGGCACACCATAAGAAGGCGATAAGTAACGCAGTATGGTTTCAATGCCACTTTTAGTTTGGAAAAATTATTCAAGAGACGAAACCATCGATGCATCGTCGTCCCGATATGACATTATTTTTGTTTTTTGCAGAGCCTACCATAGAAAACTGCATCTCCATCAACACTTAATGGCAACAAATGATGAAAAAGTAAAAAGTAAAAGTAAATAAGTAACGATATGACCGCGTCAAGTGTGTGGGGAGCCATGAAAAATCCCCACATAGCTAAGTTTAATAAAGATTTCAATAATTCAGAGGTCCGAATATGAACTGAGGTTAATCACTAAGTATTCCAACATGAAACATTTGAGCTAACGGTTCAGCCTATCCTCGTTGCGGATGATAAATATCGGATACTTGAAGACCATGACAAACAAACTCACTTCAATAAAATACCAATGTGTAATGTGGTCTAGGGAAATCGTTCAAATACCCAAAAGATAGAATAAATATCTGTACCCAATCACCTCTCTCTCTCTCTCTCTCTCTCTCTCTCTCTCTCTCTCTCTCTCTCTCTCTGTGTGTCTGTCTCTCTCTCTTTCTCTCTCTCGCTCTCTATCTCGCTCTATCTTGTCTCTTATCCCTTTGTCTAGATGACCGTAATTGGAGCACCACGGATGATAGGGCAACCACTTTTCTCCAATGTTCTCTATTTCAAGCCTTTCAAAGGGCTTCACCTAACTTTAAACCTGTCCATTCCGTTATGTTGTCTTCACATCTTTTTCCTGTCTGCTCTTTATTCCTCCATCCTTGCACGGGGTCCTGTTGGATCATATTACCTTATAACCCAAAAGAAATGTGTAAAATCGGATGAGTGTTCGGCCCTCCCAATGAGTGGTGCCCGTTACAGAAGGGATCGGTCGGATCGGGATGGTGGTTTTTAGGCGAAGAAACGGGCGCGGTCGGCTAGTGGCACGATAGCCGCGTTGCACCCTCAATCTGGCTAGCAAACTGACCTGACCCGACGCTACCTTACCCGATTCCCCAATGGGCACCCCGTGTAACTCACCCATACCTGAGGATGGATAAGTAAGTAATTCTACCTGTGTCGAGAGCAGCTGGCTTCTCGGAGTTGCTGCCGCCGGCGTTGTCGCCCCTGATGACGCCCAGGACACCTCTGAAAGCTGACCAAACGTTCTTGTCTCCTGGAGCAGCGCGGGTTAGTGAAGGGAAATGTTAGTCACAACGAGGAGAGACAAAGATCGTGTATAACAAGATAGTTCACTCCTCTCTTTGATGAAGCAATTTAAAAAAGGGTTCACAAAATTCGTTGGGCCCTCCTCGAAAAAGTGCGGACTTTGCGAACAGAGTTACCCTACTTGTGTGAAAAATACAATAAAAGCGAGACTAACAAACTGTGCTATTCCTATTCTTCTTTTGGAGAAACGAAAGAGAGCTTCAAAACAAAGCTGCAGCGCCATCTGAACCAATGCTCGAACTTCCGTGGATACTTTTTTGCCCGAGTGAACTACTTTGTTATGTACGATCTTTGGAAGGGAGGGAGAAATATGGAGCACTGATGGAAAAAACCGATCCCTCATCAGTCCCGAAAGAAAGCGTGCTATACAAGAAAACCCGAAAAATGTTGCATGTGTATACAAAGCCACTCTAAGAATGTAAATTCAAGACGATATATTGGGACAGGAAGGGTATACAATTAAAGTGAAACATACTGAAGTAAAATAAGTTTTAACAAAAAAGCGGCATAAGTAATACAAAGATAAAAATGAAGATAACCGCATGTCTAATCTACAAAAGCGAGAAAAGAGGTACAAAGTTATAGCGAAGCAAAAAAGAAGAAGACATACTTCAAAACTTAAGTCCAAGGCGTCTACAGAAAGTTGTAGTAGAAGTCAAAATAATTATATATCTTACTGTATCACTGTGTGGAAACAAATTATTATTATTAGACAACTACCATGTAAACCTTCCAAGTTAAAAGCATGATTCTCATTGATATTGAAAGAACATCAATCTTTTTGAGTAAATGAAGTTAATATTGTAGATGAAATACTACCCTTTGAAAAGATTTACTCATATGTCTATAAGTACGATAAGCTCTCACTGAAAAAAAGAGAACGATTCTTCATGCTACAGGGTGATTCAAAAAGAATACGCCAAAATCAACACTGTGCACCGAGATATTATATTAAGGCGCGTTTGGAAGGAATTCTCTCATTTTGGCTTGATGTTGTCTGTGCTGACGGTGGTGGCCACATTGAGCGCTTGTAAAACAAGAAATAAAAACTTGAACTTATGAGCAATACATGTGTCCAAGCTACAGTTGGTTTTTTATATTGTCTTTCGGTTGTTGTTGTTTTCTGTATAGCTTGATGATTTTGGCCTATTCTTTTGTAATCACCTTGTATTTTGATAATAAGTTTAACAGATGTAGTTATAAAAGAACGTAAATAGTGGAAACTGTCTGATATATTATTCGATGGCAGCTTTATTATTACGTTGTTTGATACCAAGCGTTAGGACGCAAGTATATTCCTACATACTACTGACAACATCATAGTAGACTGAAGCGCAAAAAGAGCAATATAAAGCGATAGCTTGCTGTTGTTTGGTTTCTCTTCCTTTGCTTATCGTCGGCAATCTGTTCAACTGTACTAAGCTCATAAAGCAAAATTGGTGCAGGAGAGAGAGAGAAAAAATTTCATTTTTTTAACAATTGTACTTGCAATATGTACTTTACCTAGCTTTTTTGTGTTCAAAATTTAGAATTTGAATTTCCGAAAAAATATTTCTTGAGCATACGCAACTGATGCCACAGAATTTTTTTTTTTTTAATGCTATTTTTTACATTCAAAATTTGGGGCTTAGTACCTGTTAACAGCTAACCGAAGATATCCGCCTTTTTTCTCTATAACATGTGTCACCAAAACGATAGGCGGACTTTTGAAATGATCGTCAGAGAATGGGTGGGGAGAATGGGCCTGTGGACAACACCAATCATGCAGCAAGTGACACGTGTAGAAGCGAGCGAGAGGGCAGAAAGCTGAATAGGCCGAACTTATTTACACCTCTATAATGTACTTACTTTTGCTCATAGTCCTCTTTGTGGGTATGTTTGAGCTTTTGTTGTTTGTTTGTTTGTTTGTTTGTTTGTTTGTTTGTTTGTTTGTTTGTTTTTCAGAAAAAAGAGAAGACATAAAACAGTGAAAATCTGATTTTCTCAAACCACTACCACAATACTACCATTTACATTGAAAGAGAATGTGCTCTCAGGGAGCAACAGTTCTACAGTCAACATTTTAAACAATAATACAAATGAAGCTGAGCAGAACGGTAATTCATGTAACTGCATTTGTATAGCGCATATCCACGCTTTACAACATGCTCTATGTGCTTTACAACTATTAACAAATTGTTAACGGTTTTGGTAATTCTGTTTATTCTAAAACATTGACAGTTAACCAAACATATTTTTGTCTTGACAAACTCAAACATTTATAAAGTTAAGAACTATTCATTTGCTTCTGGTATTATGAAGTTTGTGAAACCGTAGTGGGCAAAAGAGAGGACAATTCTCTTCAAAACATTATTATTATCATTTTGTATTCAATTATCCTGGAGTTCGTTCGAGATCAATTCGACTTATGAATGATCTGTGGGTCAGATATTAATAAATCCTTCTGGCATTGAATAGAAGTATATTATTATCTAGACATATCTCTCTATTTTCATTACATTGTAATTTTGTGTAGAAGAAGTAGCATTTTATTCATACTCAAAGTTCAGTACTGAATTTCTCTCTCTCTCTCTCTCTCTCTCTCTCTCTCTCTCTCTCTCTCTCTCTCTCTCTTTCTTTCTTTCTCCACCAGTCCAGCAGCTCACACTATGAAAAATGTTCTAAAGTCAGAAATAATTGAGGTATCTATTATGCTTAACATGTTTTTAAAACTCTTATTTCGTTATTCAAACATAGGAAGAGTTAGCCATGAAAGAAGCGGCATGTAAATAACCTTGAGCCCATCTTGAGCTAAATTGACCTGTCTGCATAGACGAAAAGAGCCATACATTCCGTCATATAGATCAATATTTGTTTGTATTCCTAGACACTCTAGCAAAAGGTCTTATTTGTTCTTATTCTTAGTCGTCTACTTTTTTTTTTCAAGGTTTAAATCCTCGCTCCGACCCGTAGACAGTGTAATAGAGCGGGACTGGAGCTGTTTAAAGAAATATTTGGTCGCTTTTAAGGACAAGCGGATTTCAGAGGTTTCCAGAAATCTTCACCCACACCAAAATTATGTATTGCCCTACCTATATGAGAAGTTAGGTTTCATTGATATGTATATTTGTTTGGTTATAGAGAAAACCCTTCTTGTCTTTGAATGAAGCTGAACAAGGGTCCAAAAACTTTACCTTCGATTTTCTCAAAACAGCACTTTTCGGGATAGCCCCCCTGTGCTTAAACGCCACCAATAATTATTACCTAGAAAAGTTCTTGCCAACCTCGGCATTATCGCCTACTAGTGAGCAATAGTTTGGTAGTTTGGCTGGGCGGTGAGGATCACCCCGGTAATGACTGATGTGTGCTGGTCTATATCTCTCTTATCATATAGGGAGGGCGGGGGGGCGTTTTAAAACATTTTATCGTCTTAAAGATGGCAAAAGTGGGAGCAGGTTGTTGCTGGGTTTTTTAAGGGGGTTGACAAGCACTGGACTGGTCTGAAATAAGAAGAATCATCCACAAATCCACACAGGCCAACTTTGTGAGATGTGAAAACATAAAAAACACAACAGCAAAATAGGGAATTCGTCAAAAATGTTATTACCAACAAATCAAGATTACAACCCCAGTACAACCGACCCACAGAAAAGGGGGGGGGGGGTGGGGGGGGCGATAAACAACGAAAAACATATTCCGCGACAAGTTACTTTTCCTTACCTTGCCCAATGGACTGTCGACCTCCAGAAAACAATTGAGCAACTGAAATATAAACGAGCATTATTCAACAAAATTGTAATTTAGTTTTAATAATTTGCTTTCGTAAAAGTTTCAGAGACCTTGCAAAGCAAGACGTCGTGTAAGTACCGAATATTTGATTTGTTTGTTTGTTTTTGTAAAGTGTTTTACGGCGCTCGCAACTGCATAGGTCATATGAGCGCGCGGGACACTCCTAATATTTTCAGTTGGTAGGAAATTTTGAATTTTGCCTGGGTGGCGGCCGAAGCCTACACTTATCGATTTTAGACCACCAATGGATCTTTAACGTGCGCAACTTGCACACGGGCCCTCGGAGATTTTTCGCCCTTGTCCGAGAAGGCTAGGTGTAGATCTTTCCTACCAGAAGATCAGGGGTGTGGCAGAAAGACAGCAGTAAGAAGGAGCCAAGGAGTAGCAGTAGAAAGGCTGCAGAAAGAGTCAGGAGCCCAGAGGAGGGGGCAAAGGAGGGGAGGGGGTGGTGGCAGAAAGTGGAAATGAAAGCAGACAACAGAACATTGCTAGAGAGCAGGAAAGGAGGTGAAAGGAGACAATTTTAGAGAAGAAAATTTTTCGGTCGCTACCCGGATTCGAACCCGGGACCTTTGAATAAGAGGCCAACACCTTAACCTCTAGGCCACGAGAGCCCCCCGAATATTTGAGGCGTTACAAGAGAGAAACAAACACAAAAAAGAAGAAGGAGAGATAAGGACGATAGAATCTGATGTTGGATAGGACAGAAAGAACAAACCACACCAGAGCACCCGCCAACCACCCACTCACAAATGTGGTTTATAAGGAGATTGCTGAGAATTGCATGCTAAAAAAAGAAATTGAATGAGTCCGTAGTGGAATCTGGCACTCGTCAGTTTTTGGACATGTGGAGTTATTGGTATCCTTTTAAAGCTTGTTCATTTGCCTTACTTTCGATGAAGAAAAAAAATGTCCATTTACCTTGGATACAAGTCGAGATAATATTAGCGATTGAAGGAAGTGGGGGTTGTCTGGTTTCAGAGGTAAAATTAGGGACAAAATGACCGCCAACGTTTAGCTTTTTCTATTTCTTGAGAATTCGTAAAATTCACACCGTAATGTGTTCTTTAATGGACATAAAAGGTGTTGAGGCAAAAGACAAAAATTCCCAAACCTGAGATGAAAAAATGCCAGTTTCTTCACTTTCATAATTCTTACGAGCGACTGATTTCACCACGCTGCCTCATTTATAAAACCATAGATACCAGAACATGTGTTTCTCTCTTTAAAAAGAAAAAGTGTCGGAACCTTAGTTTGCAGTGGCCTTCGTGAATAGGCTTTTAGTTTCAGCTGATCACCCAACTTTTTAAAAAAAAGTTTTTAGTACGAGTTTTACGGCACTTGCAACACAATTAGATCATATAACTGACGCCACCCAACTTTTAGACCCAGAGCAATTTGATTGTATCTTGTAAACTCGCAGACAGACAAAAGTTAACGAGTTGTAGTTTGAGAGTGCCCTTCATTATTGGACATTTAAATTCAGATGGTCACCCATCTTGTAGACCCACATGCAAAGAATTTCCACAGCCTCTTGTTTTCTTGTTTTCATCCCGTTTTAACCGTGGACAAACCAAAGTGAACAAAACTACAAAACTGATCTAAGTATCAGACAAATAGAACCGGCGTCTACGGTACAACAGTTGAGCACTTCACAGTCGCACAAAGGAGACCCGTGTTCGGTTCCTGAGAAGGGAGATTTTTTACCGAGTGACTTTCTGCTGGGATGTATCCTTGTCAGTCCGGTTGGCCTTGACAGCTGGTTCGGAAGCCCGCCTCCTAAAAGAGCTAATATTGTTTCGATGAGCGTGTAAAAACACCTTCATTTGAAAATAAGGAGTTGATAGATTTGGCACTCATATGACTTTATGCAGATGCGAGCGCCGTAAAACCTCTAACTAAAATAAAGAGTTCACAGATAGATAGAGCGTGTTGTATACGTACATGGATTCGCCTGACCTTGCGCAGCACCGCCTCTACCAGCTCCCACTGGAAAGGAAAAACATCTCATATCAGAGCAAGTCGTGACCTCAGGGGGTCAAAGGTCACAGTAGATGGGACAGGCTACATGTATTGATATTATAGTTAAAGTGCATAGAGCTTGCGTTGAGCGGGCATACAAACTAAGCTATTTACTATTTATTATTAAGACACAGAAACAACCCCCCCCCCCGGCACTTACATGACCAAAATTGAGTCGATAGTGCCGTAAAACACCTACTCAATGAATGAATGAATCAATCAATCAACCCCCCCCCCCCCTCTCACTCGCCAGTAGCTGTTTCCGCTCACTACACTAAAGTGCCTACAACGGCGTCTGTGGTGCAGAGGTTAGGCCTTTTGCCCTGAGTTCAATTCCCGAGTAGGGAGAAGTAATTGCATCGAGTGTATCGGTCTTCTACTGATATGTTGTATAACTCTCAGCCCAAGTTGTCCCCGACAGGTAGAATAAATAAAAATAAAGTAAATTATATTTTTATTGATCCCAGGAGGGCAATTTGGTTTACAATGGCAAATATACATACTTACATAAATGCATATACATATATATACATGAATACAAAGCCTAATATTAATAAATAATTATTATTATTATAATTATTTATTATTATTATTATTATTATTATTATTATTATTATTATATACCTATACATACATGAATACATAGCCGGCCTAATATTACACCGATGCTGAACAGTTTCACAACCATGTCATTGCTTGTCGCCACAGGGCGTGCAGCACACAGGTTCTTTTTAGCTAGGACTGTCGTTTCTTGCTCAAGGACACTCCCAAGTGACCATCCATCTGATCCCCGTGTCACGGACACTTGTTTGACCCTACTCTTGTGTCAACATTAACTTCTCACTTCGCCTCTGGAGCCCCCAGTAGGATCGAAACCGGCCTCCGAAATCATCTAGATAGTGTAGACAGGGGCGAGAGATACACATACGTTTTTTAAAGACCTACCAACCATCCTCAAAAGTTCAAAGTCTTTTATCCTTTCAATACAACTATTTTGGGGATTTCAAAATAACCCAGTTTGTAACTGTTTCATTCGTATAAGCCTATTCATTTTAAAAAATATGAATGCGTAATACTGTATTACATAATGTAATCATATGTCGATGGCTGGGCGCAAGAAGTGACTAGATTTATATCCACTTTTGGTCGAAATGGAGTAATCCATACGGGTAGTGAGATTTTAAGCCGCTCTTTTGCCTATGTAAATATCTGATCCGTAGCTTGATTCGGTATCGAGATAAATAATATTAATGTTATTAATGTTGTTGTTTTTTTATCATGTTATAGAGATTTAAAAATTCGTCAAAATTTCTTATTTTACAGATACTGTGAAAAGTGGATATAGCACTTGCACTAAATTTTCAATATTTGCATTTGCGTTAGACCTGCATTAAAGCTTACAAACAAATCACAGACCACAGACACGAAGATGGACAGAGAAAGAAGCAGATTAACGTAACAGATAATGCTTTGTACATGACGTGACAACGTAGATCAGGCACGGACACACTGCGGCCCACGGGCCGGATCCTGTTCACGAGCAAATCCAGTCTGGCCCGCGGTGTGTTGACATCGTTGAATAATTTTTAAAATACTGTTCCTTTTAGAAATTAAAGTTAATAGTTTCCGACTGAGCTGGAAGCAACAGATCTAAAATTAATAATACTTCATCTCATGAAATGCCCTTTCGTGACATAATAAGCTTTTGTGTCAGTTTTAGTCTCACTTTTGAAGGCAGAGTCGGATGCCTGTCTCCATAATGATTTTAATTGTGTCAATGGGGACGTAGATATACCTACAATTTTTTAATCACTTTTGAGAGCAAGAGTATTTCAACCAATTTCACCCAACTACTTTTCCTGCTTAGGCCCAAAAGATAATACTATTTGAAATCGTTTAATCAAGCCCTCGTTTTCGAAACTGAAAACCTTTGCCCATGCCAGACTTGGCCTAGATGATACATACTGGAGTTTTGCTGGCCGCCGAATATTCTGGACTTGCCAAATCCTCGAAGCACGTCGGCAGCTGCAACAAGGTTAGTAAAACAAAACGCTGGCCAAAGCAAGTTATGTGACAGGACGAGACAGAGCGCTCACATATTATAGTTACCAAAGACCAAGTTCCTTTTTTTGATTCACCCTTTGTAGGTAGTTGGCGGGTGCTCTGGTGTGATTTTCTCCTTCTTTCCTATAAAACATGTATAGTCCATATTTCTCTTTCTTTTTTTTTCTTGGCGTGCGTTTGTGTGTGTTTGTGTGTGTATGTGTGTGTGTGTTTGTGTGAGTGTGTGTGTGTGTGTGTGTGTGTGTGTGTGTGTGTGTGTGTGTGTGTGTGTGTGTGTGTGTGTTACTCTCTCGTTACATCTCTAATCTTCGGTGGCTTAGTGGTTTATGACTTGCAACAGTAAGATCGTGGGTTCGAATCCTGTCATGGACCCGACGTTGTGTCCTTGGTACAAACACTTTACACGAATCTTCCCCACTTCACCCTGTCATAGACAGGAAAAGAAATTGTCAATATGTTTGTGTTTTAACGCCTGTAAAATGGCAGCTTGCACTGTATGCTTCCCAGGAAGTTGAGATTGTTTCAGAATGACATCAGGTCTGCTGGAGTAATAATATAGGTTGTAAAACGCACACAGAGCTTGGTTGGTGTTGAGCGGGACTTTGCGCTATACAAATGCTATCTATCTATCTATCATTATTATTACTTATTATGTGAGCTTATTGTCTTGCAATTGTCGTAAAACTTTTATTAAAAACTAACTCTTTGAGGACACAGTTCTGTTCATTCGACAATTCAATCTTGAAGACTCACTACTTAGCAGTACTTTTTTTTTTATAGCATAAATGCGTTATTCAGAAGGATTTTTTTCCATTCTCCTTTGTCTGAAAACATAAGTGCATGTAACATCATGCATACTTTGAAATGAGCAAATTTGTGTTTGGGATTTGTGTAAGATGTTTCGAAATGTACCTCGACATTGCCTTCCGTGTATTGATGAAAGAATATGTGTCCGCGACGTGATAAAGAGCAAAGCGAGATTGTACAGCTCGAGAAGCGAGTTTGATTATTTGAGTTTGTTTGGCAGGGTAAAAAAAAGAAGCATGTTAACTCAAAAAGCAGCCATCATTCAGAGGTTAGGTAAAAAAAAAGTAGACAGAAAGACAGACACAAAAGAGTGATAGTCAAAATATTCATCATACAAGGTACCAATGGTGTCTTCTAACTATACCCAAAGCAAAATTAAGCAGCCCATGCACTGATATCTAACACGATAAGCTGTAAGCAGAACAGCGGAATTGAAACAAAAAGACCAAGAAAGAAATCAAAGCAAAGCTCGCATTGCAATAAAACGAATCGAGGGTGATGGTGAGCGTATGTCAATGTCAGGAATAAAATGTATTTTGGTTGGGGGTTTTTTTTATTCAATAATTTTTATATCTATACGAGTTTCCGTAAATTAAGTGGTGTAATTCTCCAGTCACTATCCTGGAATTACAAAGTTCTATATGCCCACTACCCAGTTCCCAAAAAATTAACAAGAAAATTTCAGAGTTTCACAACATGTCAAGCTTCTCCGAATGCAATTCTTTGAATATCGTGATACAGACTCCCAAAAATCTTGTGATTTTGAAAGAACAGATAGAACATTTGGTTTATGACCTCATGGTCTTAGTAAATCAAAACGACCAAAACTGTCAGACAGAACTTTGTAATTGCGGTAGCGCAATGTTAACTGAGTAACTCAGATGATTATGTTACTGACGAGGCCCCCAGTGGCAAAACGAGGAACTAATTACAAATGTCTACTGTCTCCACCGATGTTTTGCCTTTTTTTATCTTCGAGCTGTCTACAACGATAATGATGATGATGATGATGATGATGATGATGATGATGATGATGATGATGATGATGATGATGATGATGATGATGATGATGATGATGCATCCAACAACCGAAGCTCAAAAGCGGCCCCTAATATCGCAACGAACATGCAGAGCACCATTTGAAGGCGTCTCTGTTGTGTAAACTTACGATGACCATTCGTTGCTGGAGAGCCTTGCTGGTTCATAAGACTCATTAATCCTGAGAGAGCGAATTTCCATTTCAGTGTGAAACGTACAGACGTCTTTTAGAACATATCATGTTATCGTCTGATCAAGTGTAGGGGAGTATGATTGTGTAGTGTGAGTTAATGATTTTTCGTTGGGGAAGGTAATCATTAAGTCTGTTCTCTCACAGCAAATCCCCCCCCACCCCACCCAACCTCCCAGGTTCCTCGCAAAAAAACAGTTATGACATTAACAGTAAAGTAAACATTTTTATAACCGTCAAAGCTTGTAGGCCTAGTAACAAATTACCGTAGAATGGTTATTGGAGAACTGATTATGAGTCGAACTTAAACACTATTATTGTTAACTTGTTCATTAATAGCATAATAATATGCGTATGACTGTGGTAGTTCTACTGTCTGTGAGTGTATCATACTATATAGGCTTACTGTGTGTGTGTGTGTGTGTGTGTGTGTGTGTGTGTGTGTGTGTGTGTGTGTGTGTGTGTGTGTGTGTGTGTGTGTTTGTGTGTGTGAGTGTTTATGATGTGTTCGGAAGAGAGGATGTATGGAAAAGTATTAAATAGCTGTATATGTGTGTCTGTATGTATGTGTGTTTCTGTGTGCCTGTCTGTGTGTCTGTGTGTGTGTGTGTGTGTGTGTGTGTGTGTGTGTGTGTGTGTGTGTGTGTGTGTGTGTGTGTGTGTGGCAAAATACCCAGTAAATGTCTTATCTTATTTTATTTTATCTTATCTTATCTTGTCTTATCCTGTCTATTTTATCTTTTCATACCTTGTTTCGACTTATCGTATCTCATCTTATCTTGTCAATCCTTACCTTGCCCAGATTGGAATTGCCTCATCATCTGTTCTCTCATCTGAATAGCTTTTTGCTCATACGTCATGGCTGAGGGGAGAGAGATATACAAGACAGAGATTTACATACATATAGATAGAATTCTCTCTCTCTCTCTCTCTCTCTCTTTTTTTAGGGGGGGGGCTCTGCTGATTTTATTTTTTTATTTGTTTTGTTTTGTTTTGTTGGGTTTTTTTACAATAAAACTGTACTTTGAAGGTTATAGCTTTACTTGTCTACACTCGCAACACACAATGGTTATATAAGTGGTGAAGATTTTGAGGCGTTACCAGATTATAGTAACATACAAAAGAAGGTGTAGACGAGATAAGGACAATAGATATTTGATTGAAAAGACGGAGCAAACCACACCACAGCACCCGCCAACCACTCACAAAGTTGTTGTAGCCTCTTCACAGAAAAAGAAATTGAGTTGCGCAAACTGCCAGTTATAGGGAGTTCGGTCAGATACTAGGCAATCACCTAGGTGAAGAAGAAGAAGAAGAAGAAGAAGAAGAAGAAGAAGAAGAAGAAGAAGAAGATGACGACGACGACGACGACGACGACGACGACGACGGTGACGATGACGAAACCAATACATCTACAGACGAGAATATTTCTCTAGCGAAATAGAAATGTTAGAAAGATAACTTGTGGCTTCTGCTGAGGCCGATGAGACCAGTTAGTGGCAGAGGAAGGTTTGCCACATTTGAATATTTAATAGCTCCACTCCCCCCTCTCCGCCCAGGTGGCTCTCGTGACCTTGAGGTTAAGGTGTTTGCCTCTCTTTCAAAGGTCCCGGGTTCGAATCCAGGAAGCGACGAATAAATTTTCTCCTTTCACCTCCTTTCCTGCTTTCTAGCAATGTTCAGTAGCCTGCTTTTGTCTCCACTTTCTGCCCTCCATCCCCGCATCTCCTTTGCCCCCTCCTCTGAGCTTCGGACTCTTTCTGCAGCCTTTCTACTGCTACTCATTGGCTCTTTCTTACTGCTGTCTTCGAGCTACACCCGTGATCTTTATGGTTGGAAAGATCTACACCCAGCCTTTTTCGAACAAAGGTGAAAAACCACGGAGGTCCCGTGCGCATGTTGCACACGGTAAAGATTCCTTGGTGGTCTAGAATCGTTATAAGAGTAGGTTCCGGCCGCCGCTCGGGCAAAATTCAAAATTTCCTACCAACTGAAAATGTTTAATGTGTCCCGCGTGCGCACATGAGCTTATGCAGTTGCGAGGGCCGTAAAACACTTACCAAAAAAATGGTTTTTTTAAAGCTTCCCTTCCATTTGTGGATGTGTGCAGCTTGCGGGATTCTCTCTAATACCCAGTGCCCATTGGGGGATCGACAATCCGATCGCCAACCTATCGCCCGATTCACGGTCTGAAAACAAAGGCGTTTATTTTTTAGGCTGCAGGTGGGGTGATCGGTTTGTGCTACGATGGTCGCTTTGAGCCCTCAGTCTTGCTAGCCCCGCCTAAAAAAAAAACCGAATTGAACCGAACCGAACCGATCCGATCGTGTCAATGGGCACCCCTTATAAGACTGTAGAAATCGGTTCAACTTACGAGAACTGAACAACTCCGATGTCGAAGTCTGGCGGTGTCCACTTGCACACGACCTTGGGTTTGGGAGTAGGGTCCACGTGAGTCACGCCAGTGATGGTACAGAGTCGTGTCGACCGACCTGTGGGTAAGAGGGAGGGGGGAGAAGGAGGAGGAGGAGGAGGAGGAGGAGGAGGAGAGGGTGTGGAAGGAAAGAGGAAGGGGGGATAGTTGGGAGGAGAGATGACGGAAAGGAGAAGGAGGGGGGTGGGGGAAGAGGCGGAGAGGCGAGGGGGGATATGGAAGGGAAGAGAGGGAGGGAGGGAATGGTGAGGGACGGGGAATGGACCGTAAAAGAGGAGGGATGAGAAGGGAAGGGAAAAAATGGGAGAGGGCGATGGAGGAGGAGGAGGAGGAAATAGAATTATATGTCTTGATTTTTATGAATTGCGAAACGTTTTACGACATATCGAAACGGTTCTTAAGAAACCTGATGTTTCGAGCCAACCTATCAATGTCTACATAGTTAGATAATAATAATAAT